AGTCCATAACTCCTAGTACTTCCGTCCTAACTCATAATTTTTGTGGAAACAGACTCCTAAAATTGAAGAGTTATGATTTTGTTGACACTTTCACTGTCTCCATACAATAGTAGAGTAGCTAAATTCACTCCTGGTAAAAATTAACTAAGTTTAACTAAAAATCTTTTTGTGTGTGTATTCACATGAAAAACTGACTAATAATTATAGCATCCTACTGCCATGAAAAGACTCAGGTGTTCAGAGCTCAGACAAAAAAGGAAGGGCTATTTTCCCTCTTCAGCTTTGATCAGAAGCTTTTGTAGCTCATTTTCTTGATTTGACTTCGTATGTGATTGTGCTTCCTCTGCAGATTAGGATGAAGGCATTTTAAAAAGAAATAGTGTTTGCCAGTAAACAATTTGACATTATTAGGGAACTAAAAAAAAAGAAGTTGTGATGTAACTGAAGAGATGCCTTAAGGAAAGGATAAAAATGAATTCTGGAATGACAATCCTCTTAAACATCAAAAGACCCACTCCACTAGATCACAGTGTTTCTTTGTAGATGCTGTTGCCTGGAGCATTCTGGGCTCCACCAGTTTACAAGGCATACTCTTTGATTCTTCCCAGCTAAACAAAAAAGTAAAATCAGATTCCTTTGTTTTTCATTAGAGCAAATTCACTTCTAGAATACAATTTTATTTCTTATATTTGGAAGTTTGTCTGTGGAAAAACGTTTGGAAGTGTACTCTTGTTGCCTTAGTTATGTAAGTGTATTTTTATAATCCTTGAGCACCAAGCTGTCAAAAGCCCATTGAATGTTGCTTTTGTCCTGTTGTATTCAAAGAAGTATGACTGCAGTCAATGCAAAATGTAAGCTGAGATTGTTCTTGTGTAGCATTACCTGTCTTTCATGGTATCTAGACAAAAACAGTAGATACTGTGGGAATAGGTGAATTCTTGATGAGTGTTTTTATCTGGTGAAGTCTGTCAAAATAACCTCATGTGGGAGGTTGCCCCATGTGTTGATCATGTATGTTTTTTTCTGTTGTTTCGCTTGCCTACCGGAGTAGGGTGGTCTTTTAGGAACGCTGCTTGTATTGTCTGCTGAAAGAAATCAGTCTCTACTCTCTTGCTCCTATTATACAAGATAATTCAAAGGTTGAGGAAGCAGAGTGCAAAAACAGCTGCACAGCAAAGGCAGATGATAATTTACTTAATTGTCTGTATCCCAGAAATTCTTCTTTATGACCCTTATTTCTACTGAGTCATGGCTCCTGACTAATACTCCTTTTTTCTTTCCCGTCTTTATAAGCGTGTGAAGTGAGCAGATATGAGAGTAAAAGTTCAGTTCATTTAGAGGAAAAGATACGAGCATGCAAAGGGTACTCAAGTAAAATACTCTGAAACATAACATTCCATGCAGGTATAACATGTGTAGATAATGTTTCATTGCTGTTGCAATAGACGACTTTATAGATACTCAGGTGAGCTTGCTGCTTAGTGACTGATGTGCTGGTTTTGCTTTTTGATTGATTTCAAGTCTTAGCTGGGTCAGTTGTGGGCATAAGTAATTAGAGTTTGTGTCTCTTTCAGAATAATCTGATGATCCTGCAAAGTATGCAAAGTAAGTAGCTTATTCAGGTTGGAGGTTTCATCTCAGCAATATGGAACAAACATTATACTTTTGTACCTTCATGTATCTATTCATCCTACAGATTGCTGGAAAGCATCTCATTCTAAACACGACCCAAAGATTTTTGATTTGACTTCACAAATATGCATATGCTTGCCAGTTTCCCCACAGTATGTAATGAAGCTGAGTAGTAACATGATATAGCTTGATTACTTAAAAACTGGATGCCTTAAAGAGCTCTGTTAAAACTCTGCTCTTTCAGATAGGTATGATTTCTAAGACTGTTCTTCAAATACAGTCTTTGCCTTGATAAATGGTAAACAAGTAGTAATGAACTGGAAGGAGACTCAAAGCAGTCCTCTTACTCAGATTCTGTTAGAACCTGGTGAGTGGGAGGCAGGCAAGAAAATTAACTGATGCTTTCTGTGGTAATGTGAATTTATACTTTTTTTAAAGGTGCAGCTAAGTAATCTTTGCCAGCATCAGATGTTTCCTGTAACTATAATAACATACCTGAAGGCAAATTATTCTTTTCTTTCCTTCTTTTTTTTTTTTTTTTTTGTTTAAGAAATAGAGGAAATTGAGCCTGGCGTCGAGTAGATTCAAAATACAAAGGGGAGTTGTCCTTAGATAAGAGGAGGTTTCCTAATTTCTTTATTCTCTCCTTGTTGTCTGCTAAGTTTTTATGGGTTATATCTCCGAGAAAAAAAAATACAAATTTTTAAACCTGGAATTCAGATTTAGTTTCTCATCAGAGGAAATGGAAGAATGATTACGAGTCTGTAAGCTTAGGCAAACTTTGGCTGGAGTCTCTTTAAAGTGTTATTGCTCTAGAATGAGTTTCTGTAGGGAA